GCCCCGTTTTTTCAACAACAGATTTGTCTCGAGTTCTGGCTTCAGCTCTGGATATCTGGAACTTCAATCCAGCAGCTCCAATTGCAACTCTGCATTTTTCTTTCTCGGCTCTAACTTTACATTTTTTACTCCGGAGCCGGACTTTTGAATATTTCTCGTTTTTCACAATTCTGGCTCCGACTTCAGTTCGGTATTTTGGAATTTCGACTGCGATCTGAGCTCCGAATCCAGACTTTCTAATTTTCGGTTCAAGTTCAGATCAAGTTTTCGGCGACGACTTCGGAAGAATTATTGTGCGCGTCTCAGCTCCGACTATTGAATGTTGCTGTGACAATTTTTGAGCAAGGCAAAAAAATTTCTTTAGTTCAGAGTTCTAACCATTTCTAACAGGGCAGACATATGCATTTCGTGAATGTGCCGCCTTCAAAGTAAATATTGTACTGCCTACTGTACTGTAAATAAAATAGTTCACCTTGCACACTCTGTTCTGAGGCACCTCAGTCACGTTAACGAACAAAATTACAAGGATGAATACGATTATCACACGTGAAATCTGGCAAAATTGCAGAATAATGATCTTGAGATTGTAAAACGAGCATTTTTTCGCTTCCGTGGCCATGTGTAAGCTGTGATTGATGCATACTGTCCATTTACTAAAAATAAAATTCATTCAGAAGCTCGCCGCAATTCGATGTTGTTGAAAAGTGGGAGTGAAACGTTTGAAATGTGTTCTCAATTTGCATTTACACTTCGATTCAGCTTGCGCTCATGACAGACATGTAACAATAAATGTGAATTTATTGGTATCAATTTCAGCCGCTGGATACGATATCATGTTATCATGCATTTCCTGGCAGCCACTTTTGCATTGTTCATTTTAATCGAGACCGAACTTTACGCCGCTAGTGTCACTTCGACGTGTTTTTGCGTTTTGTTCTTCATCACCTTCTTCATCACTTTAACCATTTCGGTTCAGGTAAGGTGTATTGTTGAATAACTGAATCTGAGAATGCCAAGATGCAATTAGTGTCGAATGCACATACAAATCCAGCTGAAATTTGTTGTTTAAAGCACGAGATTACACTAGAAACAACCTAGAGAAACATTTCAAAGAATGATGCGCTAATTCAATCGAACAGTCCACTTCATTTATCAAAAATGCCTCAGTTCAGGAATGTTTTGAGTCTTTCAGAAGTTGTATTTTTGTATCATTGTGTTTGTTATTTTGATCGGTACTGCTTGTGACTGTGGTTGGGACTGTTTGTGATGTTGACTGTGTTGCTGGTGCGAAAGCGACGATTAATAATTTACTTTATCCACACAATAAATGAAGACGAAAATAACGGCTCAATACAGAGAAGATGGTTGAGTGACGAGAGATGCCGATGATGGCTCATAAACAACAACAACACTGGATACACGAACAACACACCAACTGACTAATACGGAGGAACTGATACAACTACACTGAGCTACTTATATAGTCATTGAGATTAGCTGATTACGAAACAATGGTTAAAAGTTGCCAATGGTGGTGAGAGAACACATGATATGCAAAGCACTATAGACAGACATACAAGAAACCGTAAACAATAAACAAAAGATCACCGATTTATCACAACATGATCCTTCACATTGAATCCACCATTGGATGCCTCTTCGTTCATAACCTACTGTATTATCACAAAAGTGCTTCAAAATTCAACTAGCCATTTTTCATAAGTTCACTATCATTATTCGCTAAATACTCGCGAATAGCCATTAAACTCGCTTTGTTCAAGCACAAATTTCCTCTGAACTGTTGTAATTCACTATGTTCGCTGCAGACGATAGTAGCATTCGTACGTTACCACTTCCCGTTGAAAGGCCAAACGAGCTGGAATAACAAGGATTTCAACCGTTTACTAAGTACGGTTTTATATGTGTTACCAACGAACGTTATCAACCTTGTTGGTTTTGGTGAGTTTCACCATTACGCGTTCATTTACATTGAACTTGACGGCTTCGCCACAATTTGTTAATTGTTTTGAAGAAAAGTGAGTACAGTAATTTTCGAGAAAATAATTCTCGCCATCTGATCTACATAAAGTTTACATAAAGTTTACATTTAAAGTTTACATAAAGTTTACATAGTTCGGATGTTTATTTTACTATATTACTTCATAATGTTAATTGCTCAGTTATAATAATGAAGCACTAGCTCAAAATTTCTTGTTATAATGTTACCCAATGGTTTCATGCAATCATTGCCCAATGATTTCTTCTCAAGTCAGCCTGGTTTTCAGTGCATTCATTACCGTCCGCTTTAATTCAACCTCGCTGGAAATTTCTTAAGGTCTATAGATTGACTGATAAGTTCCAGAGAAGTGGTTTTTCAATTTGATTCAGAGCTTAATTCGGTGTTGGAGCTCATCATTTCGATCATTAATACCATTAACACCTCAAAATTGATTGTTGTCCATTCTAAAAATCGTTCTCCAGTTAATTTGTTCTTTCAGTTTTATCGCTGTCGCTTCTGTGTTTATATCTATTTCCAGACAGTGAATTTGTCGCACAAGTGCTCGTTTTCATGATCAAATTTCAGGTTTGTTGCTGATCCACTCCATTTTCGTCATCGATTTTTTAATGATTCTCAATGGAATTTGCTAGCAAATATGAATGGATTCTTTTTGCCACTTTAACCACTCAAGAAAACTAATTGCTTCTGTCCGACACTTTGCAGGCTTATTGTGTTCGCGCACGACCGATCGTAATCTCACTATCGACCATTCTCGCCCTACCGCTATATCGCACAACTTTCATTGACACCTTCAGATGTGGCCATAGAAGACCTGCTAAAATTCTGATTAATGCAACTCTTAGATTCAAACGTTCAAATTCCATCGCTGATAGCCGTAAGAAATTCAATCAATCTACAACACCCGTTGATTAGTAACACTTGGTAGCTATTTGAGCTTGCTTTTTAAAAACACCTCAGATAGGAATATGTGACAACAAATGCTTAACAGGGGTTAGTGCTAGCATATTGAAATATTCGAGTACTTTCTTCGTCGCTTAACATATCAGAATTTACCGAATACTGAAAAGTTTACATAGAACATGATTATTAGCCCATCCAACTTCTGAATCGTGCTTTTCTCCAAAGTTATCGAACTGTTTTAGTTAGTGTTTAAGGCAAGAACTCCTTTCTTACTGGACGTGAATAATCGAAACAATACTATTTAATGTGTTTGTTTGTATGAGGATTACGGTTGAACTTTACTCAATCTTATTACTATGATGTATTGTGTACGTCATTCTGCCAGTCTCCAATCGTGATCGATCCTCTTGAATCAACAATGGATATCGCTTTTACTGCTGTATGGTTGTCAATGAGATCAAGTGCTGATTTCGCATTTGCACAAAAAATATGTTACGTTCCAATATAAACTGTTGACTAGAATGAAATCAACTTTTCCAATATAAATGAAATCAGTCTCATTTGCTTTTCTTGAAGGTTCTCTAGAATTTTCTTGAAGAGATCCTGCCTCCCAGATTCTCAGTGATCATTCAGAACAAACAAAGTTAGTCGATAAGGCTATAATCTGCTTTCCCATCACTGCTCAACGATACTGGAAGAATTTAGCATCAGCTCCTCAATGAAACTATTATTTCATTTGTGAATTGATTTCATTTGTAGAGCATCTCGTCGACCTATGATCACCATGCAACAACAACTTTATTGATGAATTCATTTTGCACCGGCAGCTGCTTGAATCTTAACTTATGAAATTTGCAATGAGAATTCACACTTCGGTAATGAAATTGTACGATAAGTTTTTGAAAGCATCAAAGTTCGTTCGAATCAGAATTTTTTTTTCAACATTTACCAGAAACTAAATTTGCCTACGTTTGATCATTTCCATGTGTGTCTAATCGACGCTTTCCAGTTGAGGCGGTGGATTGCTAATTGCTCAGAGTTCATATGCAAATCGAGTGTGGCATCCACGAGAAGGAAAGTCAATCGAATGTTTTATTCACGTAATGACAGAGCAGCTCCAAAGTCCGCAGTACGGAAACAGGACAGAACGCTTAAAGAATTAAAAATGCAGACCAAAGTAGACGGGTTCAAAGGCTGGCATAGAAGTGTTAGGGTATCGGAACGGAGCAGAAAAGGACGGAGGGATAGCAGAACACAACACGACAGTCCACCAAAATCATTGAAAACCAACAACAACGAAAAAACCAAAACAGAAGGGTTTCCAACAAATTAGAGTGCCCAACAAAGCAGGAGATTGTTCTATTCTGGCGTATAATGATGGGTCGCTTGACCTCTAAATCCATGAACTTTAGTCCTGCGACTCCATTTTTGTCGCTGTAGTTCCATCGCAACTGACAACTATATAAACGTACTGTCCCGAGTGTCATATATTAATCCTTGATGTGGATTATCAATGGTAAGTGTTCAAACTCATAGAGAACACATTTTGTTCATCCCGATCAAATAATGCACGAGATTCGCAACAATTCACACAAATCTGCAATAAACGTCTTGAACTGAGCTGCGATCACTATTCAAAAGAGAGAAATTTCGACAAATGTGACGTGCAGAACATACCGAATAAAGGAACTCTTTGGTCGAATTTCCGATTCACAAAAAAAAAACACTCATTCAGTGGTCCAATACAAAATAGCATAGTGCATATTCTTTACATTCATTCAGCCTTTCTTTCTTCAGCGTTCAGCCATACAAAAAAGTCAATCGTTGTTGAACGAGCAGCGTATAATGCAACGGAAAGCATCTGGTCAGCATAAATAGAAAGAATAGTGAACTGGAGTAAGTCAAAAGTTTGATCACCACGATGAAATAAAGCGAATAAAACCGGGTGGTAATCTTTTGGATAAGTTTTTAAATTATCGAGAAATTTAAAAAATATTCGTCGTCGCACTTACGATCTCACTGGTCTATGTGATGGAACCGCTGATGGACAATCGTAGCGTGTTTGGAAAGCACTGAAATTCTACAGCCTTTCCAAACACGCTACGACCGTCACTTTTCGCTGAGGTTTTTTGAAGATATCACGTATTGCCTTTCGATATGCTGGTAGAGATCCAAGTGTTGATAGCGTCAATATAAGTGGTCTCAATCTTACCAGATAGTACTAAAAATTGAAATGTTAGCAATGAGAATGTTGATATTTTTCGACAAAAATAACTTTCAAAATTGGAAGGAAATCATTTCATTTGCACTCCACTACCGTATTTTTCGTTTATTGAGGACTAAGATTCTTCTTGTGAACTCTGTTTGACATCGTCCCTGTTAACATCGTTTTCCTGTTTAACTATGTTAACATCTAAATTTGTGACGTGACCGACAATCGTTTCAGCCCTTTTTCACGTCTTTGCAGTAAGTTGCATTAAAATATCGCTTAAGTTTGCTGAGTTTACAGATGATTCGATCAAACTTCATTCATAACTCTGGCATGCATAAGTATTTAGCAGTCCAATGGCTGCACCTGGCAAGTTGCAGCGGTTAGGTAGAATACATCAGCCGTGTCGTTGTTTAGTACGTACGCACATACTGTTGTGAGCGACAGAACTGAAAATATTCATCATTGAATTTCTCATTTGCACCTTGATTTGTTATTTCCCACGTGCAGGGGACACCAAATTTTTGTGAACTTACTCAGCGATGAAAATTAGCTGATCAAATAACTTACTTAGATGACTGAATGAACTGCGGAACCCTTTTTTGCTCTAACAGCGGCTGTCGTTGTGAGAAAAACAAACATAAAAGGATAAACCACTCTCAAAAATATGGGAGAAACTTTTATCAGAAAAACAGCCAACCATAAATACCAAATCAGTGGCTGTAATCGCTGGAATTGAAAATGAGCAAAGCAATGTGGATTTTTCAAGGTTATGAGAAGGTGACGAAGACGATGGAAATCTAAGACAGTTCACAAATCACAAATCAGTACTTTTTAGAAACCATACCGACGCCAAAGAAATTCCACATGTTCGGTGGTGTTGCATAAATAATCGTTGAAATGAGAACACCAATCTCTGAAGATCGATCATTTCCAGCAGTTGACCCTCTACAGTAATAACGAATAACCATGTTGAATGCCTGAAATAAGTGACGATCAACAGCAATTGCTCTTTGAACATCTGCGGTTTGAAATAATTTGATTCTTTTAGAGTCAATTCTTTTAGAGTCTGCTTAATTATTCTTTTAGCAGCGATCACTGAACACTCATGAAACGACACAGCCTGATGGAGAATCACCTGACAACAAATGCACTAGCAAAAATCCACTGAAAAATATGAACGAATTTTGGCTACCGTAGTTAGATTTTGGCTACCGTAGTATATCATCAGAGACTAACCAACACTGTGAGGACTACCGTAATCGCTGACGTGATCAGAAACAGTGGTATGAGCATTACTTCAGGTATCCAGCCACCAAAGTGAGTGATCCCAGCTATCAGAACACTCGAAAAAATAACCGTGAAAATGTCTGCGGCAACTATATAGCAGATCCAATTTCTGGAATGTTGTTTTTACATTTGATTCGAACAGCACACCAATAATAGCCTCAATCACGTGTGATCGAACACGCATCAGTGCTTAAAAATGAAACAAATCTATTGCGAATTCATGCGCAATTAGCTTATATTAGGAAGCAACCATTTCATCCGATTATTTCAGAAACGAATGACGATAAAAATGGACTTTTAATGCGAACCTCAGACCAAAATAGCGATTGTGTACTACGGGTCGCTTGAAGGATAAATATATTGATGAGAGAAGAATGACAGACATCACTCGAAAAAGTACTGAATTGATGGTGGCTAGCAATCCTGTACCAACACCTGTTATCAGCCTGAAAGTTGCGATCCATTAAAAAACTAGTCAAAGCATTTGGTCAGAGCAACGATCGAAAATTTAATGATTCAACTAGACTTTGCTCGGTTAACACTTCTCAGACGATCGAATGATACTTACTGGGCAACATAGATACAAGTATATCTTAGCGTGTTTAACGAGCATATTGTCGCGCAGCTATGCGATTTGCTCAGTTCGGAATAATCTCGGATATCAGGCTTTTCCTGTTGGTCACATAAAACAACAATTATTACAAATGTTTCAATGAAAGCGCAGATAACGCATATCATCCATTTCCACATATATTGGAACCCTTAATGCCAATCGTTTGGACGTGAAATATTTTCTGAATGCTACGGCGTACAGTCCGCAGTATCAATCTTTTTTGTGACAACTATACGTAAAACCTTTGAACATACAGCCACTAGGATTACCCAAATCATAAGAAAAAAATCGGCTCTTATGGGAAAATTGATCCGAAATTTACGCACGTTCACTGATGCCGAAACGCACGCTTTTTGCATGTGATAGTATCTAATAATCACGAATTTTAGACTGATAAAGCGAACAATTTCTGCAATAGGACCAGACCACTTTCGAGATACTATTCTCATCGTTCACCTTACATCTGCGATGAAAATTCCCATGCGAACCACGCCAAAGAGCAGTGGTAACTACACCGCTTAATGAGCGTGCAAAGAAAATTTAGGTGCGTAAGTCATGAATGAGTGAAGATATGTTTCGGATAGGTAATCTAGACGGGAAACACAAGTTGTCGCAGTTTAAAATTGCATTTGGTTTAACTGACCTATGCTGCCTAGGAATGGTTAATCACTGATTGCTTTTGACCTGTCGTCTTGAGTGAGAAAGAAAACAGTCGATTCTGCGATACCTTCAGGATGGTTTCAGTTTTTGTCCAACGCTCGAACGATTCAACGTTTTCAAATCTTCAAAAGAAGCGGTTCGAATAGTTCATTAAACTTACATAAGTAGGTAGTTCCGTTTCCCGTAATATAGCGCATAGAGTTCTGCTTCAGCCATCAATTGCCATATACTGAATGCAAACATAGGTACGAATAGATTTATCGTATAAATGTTGATGTGATTCTTACGAGAGATTTTGAAGATTGCCAGATATAAAACAAACGTCGATGAAATTAATGTCAGCAGCAATACTGTGCAACGGAACAATACAACGTCACTTCTGAAGTATTGAGCTGAAAAAAATTCAAAATTTTTGTATCGATATTTTGTGAGCACAGTTTCTAGTGCTAAAAGTCTGTCAAGTGCAGAGCTCATTGCATAAAAAAAAAAGTGAGATGATTATATCGTGACGATTGTCATCATGAAAACACTCCCGTTTACATCTCAAACGGCACTCCATCGAGTGTCATGCTGAGCAAAAATTGCGTCCTCTATCAGCAATGTGAAAGGAAATTGTGATCGCTTTATGTTCCAGAATTACTAATAGCAATTATGTATCTATAAGCCGAGATTGGATGTGGTGATTGGAATGTGAGACGGAAAATATTATTCAAAGAGCAAACAGTCACTTTCTAGATGAATTTTGCGCCCGCGATGCGAAAATCTATTTCATCTCGATTCACTTGTTTTTAATCCGACTTCTTTCGGTATGTATGGATATGGCCTGATTTTTAGCCTTTTCTCTTTCCAGAAGTGGAGATGATGCGAAGAGGGCAACATCACAAACGATCTGGAGCAATTATGTATCTATAAGCCGAAATTAGATCTTGTCTCCCTGCCTTCAGCTACCGTAGTACTGCTCTTCCCAAAAATTTTTGTAGATCATAATGACAGCTCTTATCAATGAGTCAATCGTGTGTGTGCTTAATGTCTGTTCCTACTATCTGTATTCCGTATGCAACTCACTTCAGTATTCCATCTTCTTCATCATAAGATTCCAAATTTTCCATCGTTTTGATAATTTTGCGTGACGGTTTGGCGCATTCCATGCCTCTGATTGTAAGTTGGCAAGGCTGGACAGTCATTTGGAAATAATTGTTCCTAATTTTCAATATGGTGCCTCATCGGTTTAATTGCTTTTGGAGACGATTAGTGGGTGATAGGGAAATTCTGAATCATGATTAGTTATGCCTACCGGAGAGCACTTAGGGAACACATTCCTAGGTTCGTATGACAATATAAGGTCAACTTTTTCAAGCAGTTGAGTTCGCGATTCCTGGTCATTTTCAGGAATCTAACGGTTCTTTGCAAACAAGGGTGAATAACAACATAACAAATCTTTCACTACCGGACTGAACATGCAAAAGCGTCCTAGGAAATGACATCGTCAGTATTTTTTCTATTCTGCGGTGTTAGCAACCGGAAAATAGATGGCACTCAGAAAGTGTTCGAAACTTACGACATATGAGTCCGTTGCGTTTATAGTGACAAAGCGAGATATTGTCAGTATCTGCATAGTCATAAGCGATTCCGTTCGTCAAAGGATCCGTGTAGTAGTAATCGAGCCCTGGATCGTCCATAATTTCCTCAAGTTTTGCATCCACGTTACTATATGAGATAAACCATTCAACTCCTACTCGCCCTCGAAACATCAGAGACAATTATTGATGAAGTTTATTAGATCGACACAACGACCAATGGAATCGCGCAATGAGGTAATAATAAGGGAGAAGGGGTTTGATTGAACTGATCGATAAAAAATCATCGGCTGGATACGCATGCTTAAAACTGCGTAAGTGAGAAGAGCTCTAATAAGGTATCTATTTGCAAAAGCATGTAACCGTTTACGACTTCATCTAATACCGCTGCATTTTATTGGAGCTGATTGAGGAGTAGAGGAACATCACAATTCATTACAGCTTCCCGAAAGATCCAATTCATAACAGAATTAGGTGAGGAATTTTGACTCAGTCTCGCATCTCAAATTCAATACTGAACTTATTGCCATATTCGTGAGGTAACTCTGACATATGAGAGGAACTCAGAACGCGAGCACCTTCGCTCGCGTATCTTAAGAGAGTGAACCGTTGATGAATTCAACAGTGTGGACAGCTGTATCCATGCCAAAGAATGAATTCAGCTGAATTTTTAATGAAAATTCTCGGCTGTCTATTGGAAGTTTCAATGAATTTTTTTGAAAGTAACAAACCATGTTGCAACCCGAAACAAATTTGCTCACCTCAGAGCTTTTCTATGCCTACCCACTTAACGCCCACTTCTAATCGACACTTTCGACTCTAAAGCATGGACCGTTGCTTACTCAAGTTTTGAAAGTGAACAGAGCCGAGCGTCCACGGAAATGAGAAGCAATCGAATTTTTTTTTGCAGTTATTGAATTGAGTCGTTCGCATTTGCTGGCCAGTCAGATGGGGTGATATTGCAATCTGTTGACCGTACATAAATTCATTCAATTATGCCTGATTCAATTTCATTTCACGAGCTGAATGCACTTTTATCCTTCTCCGAATGAAATGTGCCATTTTGCAGACTTATTCACCTTTCGTTGCTGTCCTGCACGTTCATGATTGCATAGCATTCATTTTTAATGCGATCAAAGCAGAAAGTAATCGTATTAACATCTGCTTTATCCCATGACTTGTTGTATGGCAACAGTCGGTCATAGTTTGGTGTGATCGAATTTTAAAAAAAGCACGAATCAAGCAATTCTTATATGCAATTAGTTTCAGGTCTATACGATTGTCAACATCTTCTGTGATCTTAATTTTAATCCTATGATTTCTTTTTGCTTATCTGATCAGCATTTTAATTATTAGATTGAGAGTGAAGTGATGGATAAAAATATCTGGAGAGTATGGTGATATAACAGCTGAATATTCGGCCGGTCCAGGGTATATATTACGAGTTTACACTTCTCTGCTGTCAACAATACAAAAATTATCAAGATTTTGGTATTCTTTTATGCACTCACCTTTCTGTTTATGAGCGAGAATTTTATCTTGAGTAATAATTGCTCGATAACAGAATTGTATTATAGAAACTGCCCTAACCTACCAGAATGAAAGCGTTGGTTGCATTGTGCGGAAGGCAGGCAGTTCTTTCCTCCTTTTTACATCCCGAAAGCATACATTGCACTTCTTATTCAGAGTACGAAAAACTAAAGTTGGTTTTAATATGTTGCGGTAGTTTGCTATGAAAAATTAATTAAAGAATTACCGTTTCCGATGTCGACGTCAACAACTTTATCCTTTTTCAAAACCGAAAAATGCATTGATGAAATTACGAGCAATAAATTCAAAGTGTACACAACAACAACAAAACAGTTATGAATTAGCTGAACTAACATTGACAATTAACACAACAATGCACTTCCAAAAAGATGATGCATATTGGTTAGGCGATTACAATTTGGTTCAATAAAACTCAATTATTTTGTTTACATTCACAATTAGAGCAGTGAGCAGCGCTCAAGTTGTTTATGTCTAATGGAACGATGTTGATTGCAAATTTGGTTGACCTTAAATAGTGCGATCACTTTATAATAAAGTGCAATTCAAATGAGGAATAGGCCAGCAATGTAGTACCATCCATGCTTGATTTCTACTCAGTATTCTTCGGTCGTTCTAACTCGACTCATTGTTTCTCTAGTTCGAGTCGTCGATTCTCTCATTCGCAACCACTGATTGGATTGAGAAGGGCTAGACAGAAACTGAGATGATTCACAAGAGATCACTTCTATTTCTGAATAAAATTTGAATCGTCGTTACCTGACGATACGATGTTTTCTTGTTCTTCCATTGCTCACTTATTTATGAAGCTTTCAAAATTAATTTCGTTGAACATTTTTTGAATTAACAACAGAATAATAGCGGAAAAGGCTATTTTTCAAAGCAAAACTCTTTCGGTGTTCATCATTTCGCATAAGAATCAGCACTTGGAAGAAGAAGAAATGAGAATCATCCTTTTCGTCGTTTAAAGGCGATTCTCGTTTCTGTGTGCACTTTCGATATGGCGTCATTTCTATCAGTAATCTCATTGTTTCTCAATAATTTAACGTTGAAGGTCATCGACGGTCAGCAGCAATCGCTGTCGTGTGTGTGTTACATTCGGTGAACATTTCATTCATTACAACATTCTTTTGAAACGTTTTGCGTCTTCTTCCATTGTCTTCTACATTACGTTTGTAAACATATGTGTCTTTTACAGTTCACTTGAACCCGAGCTCTTCGAAACCCTCACATATTAATCCCATTATAATCACTGCAAAATGTTCGTTCATTTAGTTCCATTTGACACCTATGCAAATTTATCGAAAGGCTTCCTAAATTTACTCATATTTTATATGATGGCATTTTTGCGTCTGTTAACTACCAAAGAATTTCCTTACAATCAACATAATTTGCCATACTATGTGTCGTACTCCATTCCGTCGTTAGAAAAATTCTAGCGTATGCTAAGGCTAGCTACATAAACCCACTGATAATATTACTTTATAAGCATAGCATTTTTTCGAAGATATTGCAGCCGAACATTCGACAATGCTTTACTACGTTTTTATTGGTATCGTTTTGGTTTATTCAGTATACCGGTGGCTGGTGCGTCCGCTGAACCGCGTACGTCACTTTGGTGATGTCGGTTTCTACTTTGGTGATCCTGAGGTATGCGCTATTCTCATGTTCTATTTATGGAAGTAGAGAAAGTAACGGAGGAAAGTTCCACTTTCAGATGAAGGGACGATATAGGGCAATGCAATTGGAACGAGCACGCCGTCTTCGTTCGATCGGTGATATCCCACCAGTCTATCCAAACGGATGGTTTTGTATCGCCGAATCACATGAAATCAAACCAAAGCAAGTGAAAGCAATCGTTGCTTTCGGTACGTAAAAGCTCTGTCGCCATTATTTGCATATGACGTAGAATCGTCGAAGTGATCACTTAGTGAGCTAATTTTGAGCAGCGAACAAGGCTGAAAACATTGCTTGAAGCGTTCGGGAAGATACTATCAGCTTGCTGGTTAATGAAAGATGTTTAAGTTCGTGGCGGATGGTGTCATCAGCAATTAACCGAACGCATTGCTTGTTTCTGATAAATGTTTGAAGAATGCACTTTAAGGGTTTCACTTTGCTCACTAATGTTAAAAAATGATATCTCAGAACTGAGAGAATGGCAATGTAAGTAAGCTTATGAAAAGAGAAAGGATAAAGCGATTAGAAAACCTCTGAGGAGATGAAGTTCGTTTAGTGTAGTGATTTTGAAGGCGAGCAGTTAACATTGATACGATCAGAAGCTGGGAAAGTGTACTTGATTGACTCATATTGTCCACATTTGGGTGCTAACTTCAGTGTTGGTGGCCGCGTTGTAAATGATAATTGCGTTCAGGTAAGTATTCATTGCATCGAATCGTTCCACTCACAAAAAAATTCCCCCATCCTACAACAAGTCAAAAAGAATAAATGCTTCAAAATTATCACTGCATGCAGTGCCTCAGTCAATGCGAATATGCAACGTCAGATCACTTTTGTAGCTGATGTTTTAATTTGTAGCTGATGCAGCTGGAATTCTTTAGTTATGTCACTATCGCAAAATCTCAAAGATTTCGTTTCTTCCTAGAGATATACAAACTTTGTTTCGTAATAGCGCACGGTTCGAATATTTAGTGTCCATTCCACGGTTGGATATTCAGCGGTGAGACCGGTAAGTGCACAAGTATTCCGTACACTACCCAGTCGATTCCTGAACAAGCAAAAGTTTCTATCTGGCCAGTTGTGGAACGAAATCGACATATTTACGTGTGGTAAATCGATTCTTCATCCACTCAGTATCATTTATCAGCATTTGAAAATGATCCCTCACATAAAATTTCAACATGTATTATTCATTTCTCTGAGCACTACGCCCAGCCTTCAAATGCGAACTGCTGAAACATGCGAGCAATGCTGCTTTTTGTGATTTTGATCAGTTGGATGGACATGCTTAGCCCAGGACATCCCCTGTACGTAAGTCTAATAGGCTGTTCGAAAGTTTTAGACTGAATTAATTGTATGACAAGATTCGACTGTTTCTCAGAATAGTTATCGGTTGTTTCGAGGTATAATTGCGACGGCAAAGAGCCTGACTGGGACGTACCAGAGATTGAAGGGGTGGAAAGTGGTGAGTGGTCTTACAAGGGTCGAACTGAACACGAAATCATGTGTCATATTCAAGATCTCCCAGAGAATGGCGCCGATATAGCACATCTGAACTACCTGCATTTGGCAGGTGTTTTACGAGGTAACCTCTTTTTGTATTTCATCTATCAGGATAGTTTTAACTGTTGAGTTACTGGCAGCGTTCTGTGCCGATTCTCGGTAATTTCTCCACCTGATGACGTCCTCATATAACCTGTCACAAATATTGAAACATTGTTTTCCAGGCAATGACATAACAAAAATTGAAATGGAAGTCAAGGAGCCAATAATTCGGCATATTTGGGACGGAAAATGGGAGCCACAACCCGAACCGAATCAGCATATCGCCATAATGTATCTGAATCAAGTGATGACATTCATGAAAACAGAGATACCACTAACACGCAGCAATCTTCAAGCGAAACAGGTTGAAATCAACTTAACTTTTGCTCTCCAAAAAAATACTATTGACCCACAATTCGTGATTCATGAAAATATCTGAATCCGATATGTGCTTCCAAAGAACTGCACACAAGTGGTGCTCTTATCAAGATACCAAAAACATGTGTAAGAAGCATTCACCAATATTCAGCAAAGTGTTGTATGTCTGAGGCATCTGCTTTCTTCCATCTAACATTCTGGTTTGGGTGCCGTTCATTTGAGAAGTTTGCACAGATCTTTCAAGGTACCTACTAAATAGGCCAGTAAAAGTAGAATGCTGCCATTCGAATTCAGATTGGTCCAGGAATAGTGCAGATGATGTTCGATTTCGGCTGGTTGGGTAGAGGTGTTGTTTTGCATCACGTTACACCCGAAGAACCGATGTTCCAACGAGCTCGCTTTGTCATGTACGCTACACTACCGAAAGTCTTCGCAAAATTTTTCCTGATCAGCGAAGCTAATCATGTTCGTCTCGTTTACTGATTGTTTTGCACATGTGAACTTTCAACTTTCAGAAACGCCCTCCTCAGTATAACTAGTCGACTTTTTCACATAGTGAAATTCATGTTCATTCAAGCCATTTACCGGACTGTGACAGTAATTTACAAAAATCGAAAAAAGTTCCTTTACTTATGTTATGCAAAAAAAGCCTCATGAAGTGACGTTTTCATGTTTGCGAAATTTGTTCTGATAAACAGTATAATGTACATGGTTTTGGATTTTGGATTTTCAGTTCGAAAGGGATATTTACATTTGGAATAATAAACGTTACGTACGTCCACCAATGCTCGTCAGAAATGATGGTCCGATTGGTAAACATCGCAGATGGTATAATCAGTTCTACTCAGAGAATAGCCCAAAATTAAACAAGGATGGAACACTGAGTAATCAGCCAAAATCAGTTTTTGATTGGTGATTTTCTTGTGGACAAATACTAAACACTTAAAGAAAGTTTTGATTATTCACTTATGACGCACTTATTGTCATTTCTCGTACATCTGATCAAATCGTTAAGAATAAAACTTACCCACTTTCTTCTTCATGTGCATTCTACATTCAGAGAAACTTGTTGAAAATCTATCAAACTGCTCACAAGAAATTGCTTCATGCTGGGGAAAATTTTCCCTAATAAATCCCAGTTTTTCTTTGTGTTAACCCCATTCCGTCATATGTAAGCAAATGAGGGAAAAAGTTCGGAGTTGGAGAACATCTTGTGAAAAACGTAGACATTATTCAAAAAGTCAGAATCAAGCTAGGAGTTATCCACAATTGGTTGAGTTTGATCCGTTCCATCGTTCGCTTTCAGTTGGTCTGGTTGGACAATTCCAAAAACAACAGATTCAGTTCACTCCAAAATCCTCAGACTCATTCTAGGCAAACTGGTCAAAAAATTCGAACTATAGGGTTGCGATGGCTTGTTACGTATATGAATATATCAGTTCGTTACAGATTAAAGTTTGGTAATAATTTGAATATTAATTTTCCTGAAACAGAATTTGGATAATAAGAATTCACCTGTATCGTCTGTCTCTTCTATCGACATTTTGCTCAGCGATTCAATTTCATGAGTCTTCACCCCTGTTTTATGCAAAGGTCTTCCTGCCTAAGCAAATAATCTTTATTTGCTGATTTGCGCTTTGGTGTTGAAAACACTATGTGAAAGGGTTTACAAATGCACTTAAGTATCTTTCATGAGTGATTCATGCATTCTTGTGTTCACCATATGCTACATTCGTATGCACATAATTCTGTCAATGATATGAATAATTTCTATCGAAGCTTTCTTATCAGTTTCACAATCGCTCAACACTCTTTTCATTTTGCTAGCATTTGCTATTTCGATTCATTAGCATTTTTTCATTCCTTTGAAAGGGGCGATTTTCGTGAGATGTTCACTGTTCACTTGGAGATTTCGAGAAGTCAATAAAACGAAGCTTTTGATCAGAGTGTTTCTGACAGAAGAAAGGGGCAAATGTATAATTGATTTTTGCTGTGAGAAGTTTGCTGTCAAGATCAGATTAAACCAGTGAAAGGTAAACCGAACGCATTTTTCGGTCGAGAATGATCGCTTAATACATCAGAGTATACAACCGCGATCTTTGAAATGAAGCAACAGTTCTGTTTACGGGCACAATACTAAGCACTATGCAGCATATAGAATGAATTTTTCCACTGTGGCCAGCGATTTTATCGGTGAAATTTTCTTCAATAAATATAATGTACAATAATATGATGAGGGCAAAGCATTTGGGTACATACAAATCCCTCGTGAACGCAACGTCTATTGATTTCTTCATGCTGAATAAGAGATTTTACTGATTCTGAATATCATTGAATAAGGAGACAATGTTTGGAAAATTAGCTAAAGTGGCTCTACGAAGCGAACAATTATTTGTGTATAAGACACGTATTCAAGGCGATAAAAGTGGTCTCCAAATGCTAATTGATTGTTTCGTATCTGAAGAATTATGATAGCGGAAAATGTAAAGAATCTTGTCGCATTCGGAGTGTGACTGTCGTTTGTTCTTAAGCTGTTTGAAGACTAACTAGCAAGAAGGAAAAGAAATTTTATTGGTGAATAATTTCATGAAAGAGCGTTGTCTGAGCAATAGAAGAGTAAGGAACAAACGAGGAATGCTTGAAATGCACACTTAGGCTCTGCATGGTTAGCGATTACCATAAGAAGGAACATGTTTGGCATGATTCTTTGATTCGTATTCATTGTTTGAGTGCTTCAGAATGTGTGAATTAGAGATTTTTTGAATTTGAACTCAGAACGTTCCTTAAGATTTACAAGCCTTGTTTATCGCTGCTTGCACCAACCGGCCGTTTAAGTTCAAACCAGGTATCCTTTCAGCAGAATCATCCACCCATACTATCATCTGCACAGCTAATTCTTTACGTTGGGTTTGTCGCGACGGAGCGCGAAAGAGACGATTCGTGAGGCACACCAAAGTGATATGTGAAATCAACCTTCAAATCTGTAGTTAGCCGAATATGTATAAGATGTACACGGATATCATGCACTATCGATTCGGATGATGAAACTTAACTTTCGTTTATCTCACTTGGAAGATCTCCTTCCTTTTGTGTTTGTATCTTATGAATGCTTTGTGTTTAGATATATAATACAGTGTTATTACAAAATAAACGCCGAAATGGTGCGTCGGCAAAATAGAGTCTGGTATTATTCGTTTTCTGATATTATTCAAAATTCGAATATTCTCAACTGCCCGTGGAAATTCAACAATCCAACAAATTCGTTACTGAATACGTTCCACCAGCACATCAAATCAGTTGCCTCGCTAACAACACTCATTCAATGCAATGCCATCATCAGCAAAAATCCGTTCTTCCATAGGTCCAGTGAAGTTGCCTCTGGCAGTCGAATGTCTGAAATGAAGTCAAAATTTTCGGGAACAATTTCTTTTTTTTTNTTTTTTTTTCTTTCGGGAACGCGAAATAAATTGTGAAGGAAATGCAAAAGAATTTTCGAAAAATAACAAAAAAGAATACGAAAAATTCCGATGATGATGGTAGCGTAGTGACTACGAAAACATGGCTAAGAAGAATTCCGAAGGATATGTATTGCTTGAAATATAAATTCTTAGTGAATTCGGACGTATGGTTTCGTTAGCAGTTCGTGAATACCTCATTTATAGTATTATATTAGATTCTGAAAACTCCACATGTTGCGCAAATTAAGAGTGCAGGGTGAGTAACAGCTTTGAGATAATCTGGATGTTGTCCCGTTGGTATGCGGTAGTGGTGGCAACCAGCGGAAAGAAAAAAATCCGAGGCTGTCGAAGCCGAAATTCGGTTGTATGTCGGTTATATTTCAGTTCTGAAATTTTGGATTTTCGGTAATCACCGAGTTTTGGAATTGCACATATGGATCCAGCCATATTCCAACCGCTAAACCAGTTTCTAGGTTTATTGGCATCAGTAGTATGTGGTTAGAATTGAGAGCATATATGAACAAGTTGATGTGCCAATCGAAAAGATTCTGAGAAAAGGAGCAAAGAGAATTTTGGGGTGTTTGTTAGCAAATGTTGAAGAATTTGTGATAGAGTTTCGAGGCACGAGAATGACTGGAATGTGCTCAATAAAATATATCAATGTGCTGCGAGTATCTTATGTATCTATCGTTTTGTGCAATCGCTAGATATATGATGTAATGCACTGGTTGAAAATGCTGGTATGTTGTTGTTAATATAGATATAGGAACATGTAACAGTTGAATAAATGAATAATCTGTAATAGACATAGAGCAGTTGTATTGAATGAGAAATGTGGTGGTGGTGGTGATAGTGGTTATGATGATAAAACGTTTAATAGTTTGTTTATGTTTGCTATAGAGGAGGTTATTCCTGTTAGAGGAGGTTTTAGTGATTGATATTGGAGTGCATCGAACAGCGATGGTTACAATATCGTCGCGATTGGATGCAGTCGGTTCGTTTACGATTCATTCTACAACCGACGATTGAACTGACGATTCGGACCTATGAAGGCAAAGGAAGATTGCGAAGCAGTGTAAGTTCATAAGAATGAAGTTAGCAAAAGTGTTGTAGATGGATGGAGTTTGCGGTGGAAGTTGTTGCAGATGGATAGTTAGGCGATTTTGCAAGGAGAACGGATAGAGTGCTGGAGCACCGGGGTCGACAGAAGAGAGAAGGACAGTGAGGATATTGATGGTAGTGTGATTTTGTTCAATACAAGAAGAAGAATTTGGTCGCCGTGCCGATCTCATTGTTGATTGATAGAATGGTGATGGATCGTATTGGTTTTGGATAGTTTTAGACATGACATGGAATTTGATCAGGGAATATATCGTATATTTGGGATGGATGTTTAGTTGTTAAGATGCGCTACGAAGTTGATTGGAAACAGCAATAGACTGCAGGTGAAGATAATGAATATACAGAGGGACATTATACATTGAAATGAGAGATGTTTGTTAGTGTTGAACGTGGAATGTGGGTAGCAAGAGAAAACTTTGACAAGATCGTACAGCAGTGATCGCATTATGATCAACACTAACAAAAATACATAGAGAACTCAGATGGAAGATGAAAAATATCGATAGAGTTGATCGAAGAGATCAGATGATCGAGATGATGATGGATAGGAGGAAAGTGTGCTGATTTGATTGTTTGCATTTAGGAGAGATAAAGTAAGATGTGGGATTTGAGATGAAGAGAAAGTAACATGTGATGATTTTTGTAGGGAGTTGGAATTCGACAAGACGATTAAGCGTCGAATGACATAAACCGGTGAAACATTGTCGAAATGCGAGAGAAACAGCGTAAATTCTTCAGCATCTGCGTTGAACTACAGAGCAGAAATGCGCTCACGCCGGACGATTCTTCGCTAAGCGACTAACCCGACCGACCGTCAGCGGACCTACCACCGATCATTCTCTCGATCGTCGTGACGCACTCCCCGTCAACTGACTAACTACCCCTGTTGTCAGTCAATTAACTTCTCTCTCTGTTCCTGAACTTCCAACCAGTTCAAAATCAAGAACGGATGGTTCCTTGTATCACTGTAATCGATTATGTTACTGTTTACCAGTTTACCAGATATTGTCTGAATTCACAGAAATGTTAAGTGTATCAGATTTTCCGAACACATGTGTCCGATAAATGCTTGCTGATTAGCATGCTTTAGCTACCATTCACTCCTTCATTGTGCGATCACACGAAAACAACGATACAGTACTGAATACCTTGTACTTATAATGAATAAAGATTCATCTTGGATCGCTTACTTTCTTCTTTCGACGAGACTCGAATTCGATATCTTTTTTCGTCTCATTTTATTCACGATCAGATCAGCTATGCGTTTATTTGCTTTTACAATCATATCACCGTTCCATAATCTCGTGATCAATTCACAGTTCAAAATGATGCTTGTTTTCTTATTTTTCATGTTAAGTTTGCTAATATTTTGTGATATCGAAAGGCTGCTGATCAAATGCGTATAGAAAGAGACAGAAGCCTTTACCTAATCAGCATTGACTCCTCGAACGATA